GGCTGACCCRGCTCGTCTGACAGCCCAGGACCTCCCTGCAGGGCCATCAGGGAGGGGAGGAGGCCAGGTCACACAGGGACGTGGCTGCAGGTGCCGGCAGCGGGACTAGGGTGGACCCCTCTGCCGTCCCCCAGCTCAGGTTCCTCGGCTCTGTCTCCTGCACGGTTCCCTCTGAGGGCCCCCCAGAGGCCTGGCCTGGAGGAGCAGGGTCCGCAGGCCCCAGGGAGGAGGCGGGGACCACCAGCTCAGCCTGGCGGCCCACCCCTCAGGGGCAACGCTGCTCCCCAACTTGGCCGGAGCCTGTTCAGAGCCAGACCTGTGCTGCTGGCGGAATCACAGCTACTGGGGTCCCCTAAGGACGTCTAGATTGTCCTCACTGCCACCGACCCTGCGGGCTGAGAAGTCGGAAGGCTGCTGAACGGGGGCAGCAGCCAGGGGTCCTGCCCAGGAGGGTCCTGCCCAGGGAGGGTCCTGCCCAGGGGCTGAGGCCGGAAGGTGGGAGGGGCGGGCTTGRCCGTGAAGGGGAACCGGGCAGCTTTGGCAAACCCACCACAGGAAGGAAAGTCGAAGGGGAGAGCAGTCCAGAGGGCAGGCGGAGGGCGGGCTGGGTTGACCCCCCGCTGCCATGCACAGGTGGTGACCCGGGCCTCCTTCCACCGCTGGCACTCCCCGGGACGGGACACGGTTTGGCGTGTGAGACCCGCTGTTCCCAGAGCGTGTGGCCCAGGACGGCTGGAGACACTCGACGAGGGTGGCCCASGTGGGGGTCTTCAGTTAACCACCCCGGTCTCGGCCCAGGTGTCCTGGTCCCTGGTGGCCCCACAGCCCTGCGGCCTCATCCTCACCCCAGGGCAGGGGGCAGGTCTGCCTGGGCCGGGGACGTCTGGGTGTCTCCCTGCTGACCCCTGAAGCGAGGCTCCCCTGGCAGCTGGTGGCAGAGAGCCAAGGCCCCGCCCCCTGTCTTTGGGCCCCGCCCAGTGGCAGGATCGGAACCCTGGGCCAGGCTCCCCTCGGATCCGAACCTGAGTGGCCCGAGTCGATGGAACGCACCCCCTGAGGCTGAAACTCAGGGCTCCTCCCTGGGATTCGTCTTTCCGTCATCTGAAAGGCCATCAGGGTCCCCCCTGCTGCTGGGGACACCCTGATGGGCTCAGGGGCTGCTGTCACGTTGAACTGTGACGTTCCTGACGGGGCCCTGCAGCCAGGGCTCATGACTGGCGACTCAATTCCCCCGGCGCAGTACCCCAGGTCGGTGAGGGAGCGGCTGGTCACGGCCCCGGGAGGAAGGGGCTCCCCCAGCGGCCCCCAGCCAGCTCCTGGGACCCACCTGCGCGGCTCGGAGGGCGCTGGCCGCCACAGCCCGTCCGGGCTTCACCCTTCTGCTCCCCCAGAGTCAGGTGTGTCTCCAGTGGGGTCTCCGTGGTCACAGGATTTCCCTGCTATGAGGCCGACCCTGGGCCTGCCTGCCCTCGGGTCACCTGCAGGGAGAGGGACAATCCAGGTCTCTGCCCTTTGTGTCAGGYGGCATCTCCAGAGAGGCCAAGTCACCCCTGTGGTCCCAGCAAATGCCAGGCGGGGCCACCATGGTCCTGCTTCTGCTGGCGGGACCCTCAGGAAACCACGGTCCTGGGTGCCTCTTCCCCCAGGTGGCGGTGGCTTCCTGCTGTGGCGATGGCGGGGGCTCTGTGCTGGCTTTGCCGACCCCCAGGGGCACAGGGGTCTCTGAGTTCCTGGCCCTGGCTCCCGGGTTTCCTCGGCCGGACTCCACTCACGGTGGTGACGGCAGGAGACTGTGATACCCAGCTGGAGTCTCTATGATTATGAGAATGAGGTTGGATATTTCAGAGCAAGTTGCTAAAAATAATGATAATAATAATAATAATAATAATGATAATGATAATTAGGGTGAGTGGACGGTTGTAGAAGGTTGGGGGAGGGGACTCTCCAGGGCATGTCCAAGCTGGACAGTAGAAAGAGACCTTGCAGGTGGACTTCTGCCAGAAGAATGAGAGGAAAGCAATTCCATGCACAATTGTTAGATTTAAAAGCAAAATAAAAGGTTTGAGATGGTATTTTCATGATTCCTATKTTTTTTATGATTCTCTCCTTCAATCTTTTTTTTTTATTATTATTATTAAACTGATCTAGCTTCTTTTTCCAGTGGAGAAGAAAAATAATCTGTCTGCCAACTGGGTGCCAAGAGAACTCACAATCAGGAGTCCAAGGGAAAAGAGCCTCCCACCCCCACCCCCTAATTGAGCACCTACCGTGAGCCAAGTCTACGCACAATTATTTTCGCACCTAACTGTCTTTACAATCTGGGGAGGTGAGTCCTGCCATCGGCCCCATTTCACAGTCAAGGATTTCAGGACTTAGAAGTCGAAAGCCTCTTGCCCACAATCTCATAGCTCATTAGAACCAAAACGGGCTTCAGGTATGGTTGGTTCCAGCCCCCATGTTCTTTCTGCTTCCCCGGGCGGCTCCCTGGGGTTTGTTCAAAGTCTGGTATATCAAGGGGCATGTGGAGATTGTGAGTTCCTCAGGTGCAAGGACCAAGCCTGACCCTGGAGCATCCGCTGCACTGTCCCCAGGACGCACTGCACACCTGAGTCAGCACAGCACCCCTCCTCCACTCCTGCACCCGGACTCTGCTTCTGGGGAGGGAGAGCCCCTCAGGGAGGCCTAGAGCTTAGGGGGGCCCACCCATAGGTGCGGAAAAAACAGCAAAGCGTGTGGGGTGGTGCGTTAGAAACCAGAGGTGGTGTCAATGGAAACAGCCCCTGGCTGGGGACAAGGGACAGGTCCCACTGAGTCACCGGGTGAGTTTAGATGAGTCTGTTCCTCTGGGGGACTCGGTTTCCATTTCTCATAAATGGGGGGTCTTCCGGCTTTGTCACCCTGACCTATTCCACAGCGCAGCACACTCCATACAGGATGCCCCCAGGCCCCCGGTGAGGATGCGTGGGGTGGGAACGGCCTCCCCCTGCTCACCGGCGTGAGCTCGGCCGGCCAAGGAAACCAGCGTCTGCCATGTCCTTAGCCGGGGCCCGCCCTCCCACAGAGGGTCCTCCTCGTTTTCCAGGGAAGAAAACTGAGTCCCAGAGAAGCCCGTGAAGTGCCCCAGGCTCCAGGTCCGCTTCCACGGAGCCGGCACCGGACCCGATCGGGGCCTCGCTGTGAGCCTGCTCCCGGCTGCCCAGCTGGGGCTCTTGCAGGGACAGGAGGCGGGACCCCGTGTCTCCAGGCAGGGTCCGTGTCCACTCACAGATCACCCAGGGGGACAGACACCAGCCCCCGTGACCTGGAGCAAGCCGATCCTCCTCCYGGACCTCGCCCCTCCTCCTTCTCGGCCTACAGTGGCCACTGTGAGTCCAAGGCTGGTGCTGGGACCCGGCCCCAAGCCTGGACTCCCTGGGAGAGGGTAGGGGCAGGGGCCAGACTGTGCAGGGACTTCCTGAGGTCTGGGGGCTTCGTTTAAAGGGTATTGGAGGGCACCACCYTGGCTCCTTCCCCTGGGCCTCAGTGGTCTGCCCTGGGAGACGGGAAAGTAGAGTCTACAAAGGAAATGGATGAGGCCACAGCCTCCCCAGCCTGACTTAGCTTCTGGGAACGTAGAAGTGGAGGGTTGAATCATCTCCTGGGTCCTTTGGATTTTCTAGTCCCCTTGGCTCTTAAATCCCCCAGGACATGACAAATTCAAAATGGGGCTGGCTAAGGGCCCCTCGGGTGGAGCAGCAGCATGTGCMAAGGCCCAGAGGCAGGGAGCTCTGAGCATCAGGCTGGAGCAGAGAACCCCCAGGAGAGGCCCAGGTGGGCAGGCTGGGCACTGGGCAGGAGTGACACACTCAGGCTAGACCCCAGCTCTGCGAGGGCCTCCTGACATGATCATGTGGCCAGCTTTTTCCCAAGGAAGGCCTGCCTCGGTGGGCAGGCTGCGGCCGCTTCATGTGTTTCCCATTTGTGTGGGATCCCAGCTCCCCCAAACCCCCTCGAGTGCCACCCAGCCGCACACGTGGTACGTCCCAGGCAGCAGGGCGTGAGGCGGCTTGGTGAGGAGCCCTCTGCCCGCTGGTGGACCCGGGCTCCTGGCGCCTGGTGAGAGGCCTGGGGCTGCCCTTAATTAAGCAGGAGCCTCCACACGGCGTCCAGACCGCGGCCCGACGCCCGCCCCAAGCTGCTTTCAGTTCTGTTTCTTGGGCCGCGTGCGGAGGCCGGTCCCACAAATAAAAACCATCACCTTTTTTTTTTTTTCTTTCTTTAATTTTCTCTCTTTCTTTTCTTTTTCCAAAAAAGAAAAAAAAAAACAGAGAGAGAGAGAGAGAGAGAGAGAGAGGGAGAGAGACAGCCACAAGTTCTTCTGAGAGGCCTGACATCACGGCCCAGGTGACCGCGGCCCAGCCAATGGGCCCAGGCCGCGAGCTGGCTTCGGCATCCTGTAGGCTGAGGCTGGGTGACACGGCGAAGCCCGGGCCTCGACCACAGAACCACAAGGCCAGGCCCTCGCCGCCTCCGGGCCCTGCGCGGGAGCTGGTTGGCTCCTGGTGGTCCCCACCCCCGGCCGCCTGCAGCCCTGCTCGGTGGCSGGGAGGCCAGCCTCATTCATTCATTCCGGGCCACCGGGCCTGGCCGGCTGCTGCAGCCCGGCCTCCACCGGCCGCCGTCTAATGACCCAGGCTGCGTGCGCGCGCTGCGAGTCTGTGGCCAGACATTCCTGTGGGAGCGGGAGCCGGATTCTTGGGTACAAACAGCAACTTACTTCCTCGGGGACTTCTTCACCCTCCCGCGCACCGGCTCGGGCTCTGGCCTTTTTTCTTTTTTGAGCAGCCGGGGAGGGGGGGACACCGCCAAGGAAACCCCAAACAAACAAAGGGCCCCCGCCCCCCCTTTTATTTTCAAAAGTAGCTAGAAAAAAATTAAAAACCAAACCAGAAAACGAGGACAGCTAGCCAGGCGGCCCCAGCCCACCCCAGGGCTGGCCTCTGTCCCCTGCGGACGGCGGCATGGCGTCCAACAGCATCTTCGACTCCTTCCCGACCTACTCGCCCACCTTCGTCCGCGGTGAGTAACCACGGCCCGGGCTCCCTGTCCTGGGCCAGTCCTGGGGGTGGGGAGCTGCGGCCCAGGACCGCGTCCCTCCACTAACAACAGACCTGCTGTCCCTCGAGGGCGAGGCTGTCCACCTGAGTCCCCTGGCCCCCCGCAGCCCGAGGGGAAGATGGGCTGGTGGCCCCCATGTCCCTTGGCTGTGGGACCTCCCCCCTCAGCAGGTGGGGACACTGCGCCACTAGTGCCCTCCAGGGCCAGCTCAGAGGGTCTGGGGTGGGGAGGACAAGGCCCTTGGCCCCCGCCTCCCTCACGGGCTCCAGGTCCTGCTGTCCCAGCCCCTGGCCCCCCAGAGCTTGGATCTGCCACCAGACCTGGGCTGGCCGGCTCAGAGGACAGCCGAGGAGGCCGGTGAGGGTGAGGCTGAGCCTCCTCTCCGGGAGGACCAGGCCGCGGGCTTTGGGGAGGACTTGTTCCGCCCAGGGCCGCGTCGAAGCTGCGTCTGCGGAGTGGGGGGAAGGTCTGGGCAGGTGGCGGACCTGGTCACGGAGGAGAGGAAAGTGTTTCTGGGGTGGTTTTTGCCTCTCTTCTTGACCCGGAGGGTCCCAGAGCTCTGGGCTGTGCTCCTCGGCAAGGATGGGGGTCCAGGATGCCCCCTGCAGCCTCTGACTGGGGTCCAGACTCCGGGGAGGGTCCCTGTGTCGGGTCCTTAGGGCAGTCGTCCGGCCCTCGGGCACTTTTCCTCCCCAGCAAGATCCCCATGAGACGATGGCCCTGAGACTGGGGYCTAGAGCCTCTCGGCTTGAGTCCCAGGGACCAGTGGCTTCCTTGCTGAGTGACCGTAGGCAAGCTACCTGACTTCCCTGTGACCCTAACAGTGTCCCCCGGGATTCCGACATCCTGACGGTCTGAGGCGAGGGAGGGCTGTGGTTGGGGCCGTGCCGCCGCGTTATCTCAGGGACCCGTGTCTTCCAGTACAGGATGGCCGAGGGGGACGASGGTCAGGGTTTGGGGTCGCAGCGCCTTTCCTGAGCCGAGGTGGTCAGTGAGATGCCCAGGTCAGCCGGGCCGTCCGCCCTTCTCTCCTGCCTGGCTGCTGGCTGACCAGAGCAGCTCAGGGCCAGTCCTGGGGCAGCCGGCTCGGGGCCAGGGACACATTTGGGTGCTTGGCGACGAGCTTCAGCTGAGGCACTTCCCTGCGGGGGCTGAGGCTCAGAGGGGGTCCCCAGGGCCATGGGGGGTGGTGGCAGCGGGGTGGGGGGGCACTCCCGCCAAACCCGGCTGTGGCTGGTGACAGGCAGCAGCGGCCCGCGGCCCTGGCTCCTTCCTCCCTGGGCTGCTGTTCTAACACTCCCTTTGTAGTCCTCGGAGCTAATTAAAGGCAGCTCTGTGGCAAGAAAATAAGAGTTTATAAAAACCATTTGCCGGGGCTTTGTGATCTGTGCTTCTCCCTCCGCGAACAAGATGGAGAAACGCAGGGTTTAAGACAAAGGGACCTCGGGAGACAGGGCTTTGGGGCTGGCCCGGGGTCCTCTCCTGATGAGCCCAGGAGGTGGCCGCTCACAGCCCAAGGGCAAGGGGAGGGGACAGCTGGAGGCTCTGGCCCAGTGTGTGCCCAGGACGCGAAGCCCTGGCAGAGCAGGCCGATCCTGGACCTCAGGGCGCAGAGGTGCCCCCCCCAGGCCTTGGTCCAGGGCCAGGCCCCGGGGCCCGGGCTGACCCTCAGAGAAGCTCGTCCACGCGGCTCTGGCCCTCTGCCTACATCACGCTCTCTCAGGGGTCTCTCAGTCCCACACACTGTCCCTAAGGCTCACAGGGCCACAGGTGCCAGTTCTGTCCCCCACGTGCTCCAGCCCGGGGTCCCCTCTTCAGGGCTCTGACCCCACGTGGCCCACGCAGGGTCCCCCACCTGTTTGGAGCGACCCACCTCTCGGGAGTCTCRGGAAGCCTGGAGGCTCCCAAACCAAGTCCAAGCCACCAGAGGACAGGCCCTGGAGAGGCGGGCCGGKGGGTGGTGACCCGGCGCTGCTTCAGGGACTCCCTGAGTGGCGGGGCCAGGGTGCCGCCGCGGAGAGCCAGAACGGTGTTGTAGGATGGTCTGTGACGACCCACCGGGGTCGAGAAACACCTGTGACTTCCCTTGGTGACAAGGTCACGGTGAAAGGTGCTGCATTTCACTTAGAGGTGGCCCAAGTTCACGGACCCCTGAGCCCCCACGGGTCAAGAACCCGGGTGTCACCGACCCACGTGGGGATGCTGCCGTCCAGGGGTCTCAGTGGAGGGGAAAGGGCCCTGTTTGTCCTCCTCTCCCTCCTTCCTGCCGCCCCCAAAGGCTGCACCACCCCRGCCCTGGGCCAGGTGTCGGGAGCCACCGTGTCACCACCCCCCGAGAGCTTTTGAACGCTGCACTTCTGGTGCTCGGCTCCGACTGTGGAAACAGAACTTGTTGGGTTTGGGTCTGGGTAAGTCCCCCCAAGAGGTTCCCAGGTGCAGCTCAGGCAAGCTCGGGGACAGCTCCTCCTCCTGGCTCTGCCCCGCTGTGCTGGGTGACATCTCGGGGTCCAAGGGGAGGAGTGGGMTGTCCTGGGTGTTCCTCAGGTGGCCCAGCCCCTGTGGATGCTCTACCTTGCCGTCCCCCTCTACAGGGGGTCCCCAGCACCGTCATGGAGCTCCAGCTTCCCCGGAGCCCACTGGCCAGAGTGCGGCTGACTCTGTCTGAGTTTCCTGTGGCACAGGCCGGCTGGGGACGAAGCACCCTCTCTCGTCCTCGTCCCTGCTGTGARCACTGGGGCACAACTAGTGACAGGAGGCCTCCTGAGACGGGGACGAGCCACGGCCGCCTGGAGGCTCGGGCTGAGGGGCACCTCCCGACRGCACCCAGCTCCGAGGCTTCTCTCCGGGTACGAGCAGGGCCTCCGCCCGGCTCCCCAGCTCCACGGAGGAAGGAGGTTTGGGAGGAAGGTGGAGAGTCTCTGGGGGGCCCCTGCCCTGCCCAGGGTGAGGCCAGAGCCTCACCCTAGGGCTGCACACAGATGGTGGCCTGTGTCCCTGAGACGGAAGACAGGGAGGGTGAGAGGTCCCCAGAAGCCTCCCAGGCAGGACAAGGGGGATTTACCCCTCCTACCTGACAAATAGGAGGGGACCGAAGGACGGTCACATTCTGGGTCSCTTTCTGGGCCTCGGTTTCCCCATCTGGCAACTCGGGCAGTGGCCCTGAAGACCCTGGGGTAACACCCAGCTTAGGAGGGGCCAGCAGCTTCCGAGCCCCCCATGAGCAGGCCCCGTCAGCACCTCTGCACCACACCCCGCAGGCAGAAGCTCTCTCCTGGGGACACGAGGGGGTCCCCTCCAGGGAGGGAAGGGACCTAAACCATCCCGTGTGGCGTCCAGGGCCCCTGGAGAGGGCAGAAGTTCCACTCAGTGACTCCGGTCCTCGCCGCTCAAGTCCTGGCCCCGCCCTCCCTAGCTCACCTGGGCAGGTGTCTGCGCCTCAGTTTCCCCGTCCGAAAGGGGTGACGATGGCTGCAACCCCACGGGCTGTGGGGAGCACTGTGCCTGGAGCACCRGGCCCAGGTCCTTGCTCAGAGGACGCTTTTGCTCTCCCCCTACCTGCCTGGCGGAGCTCCGCTCGGGGACCTGGGCCAGGCTCTCCACCCTAGGAGCTCTCCATCTGGTGGGACAAGGGACGGGCCCACAGAAAAGTGCACCAGGGCCTGTGTGACGGGGGGAAGAGCCGGGGTCTGTGAGCTCAGACAGAGCCCCTGACCCCGGCCTCGGGGAAGGGGAGGGCGAGTCCCCCGAGTCCTGCAGGAGGTGACCAGGAGGAGAGGCTCCGCCCAGGCAGAAGGAGTAGCCCGGAGGGGGGTGCAGAAGGCAGGCAGGAGGGTCCTGGGCGCCGCSGGTGGCTGCAGGGCCGTGCAGGGCGGGGAGGGCCAGAGGGCCAGCTGCGGGCCTGAGGGGGCCTCTCCAGTGTGGCCGTGGGCCTCTCTTTAGAGATGGGGTTGGCCAGCAACTCTGCCCCAGAGATGCCCGGGAGAGATGGAGACTGGACCTGTGTGGGGGCAGCGGGTGGACGAAACGGCCCCGGGCACGTCTAGCCAGGACAGGGCTAGCCGGTGACTCAGAAGCCACCGGACAGGAAGGAAGCTGCTTGGGCCAGTGAGGTCAGTGCCGTGTCCTGTCCTGAGCCCAGGCAGTAGCCCACAGCGGGGGACTCTCCGGGGTTTAGCTGCAAGTCCCCGAACCCCAGGCAGCCTGGAAGGTGGCTCACCCCAAGGATATCTGCTGTGGAGCCTCCTCCGCCCCCCGGGGCCCTCAGGATGGACAGGCTGACCGCAGCCATCCCGTACCTGCTGCAGGGCCTGCCTGGCGCCACGTCTGCCGGGCCTCTTTGATGGAGGCTCCTGAGGCCACCCGGCACACGCCATCTCCCCAGACCACCCTGCCTGTCCCAAGTGCCCCCCAGGCTGGAAGGGCACTCCTAGGAGCCCCCCACTGCCCACAGGCCGGTCATGAGCCGGCCCCACACAGTGGGGCTGTGTGTCCAGGCCTCGCCCGTGCCCACGACAGCCAGCGGCAGCCCCATCGGCCCTGCTGGACACATAGAGGGCCCATTGACGCCCCGGCCCTGAGCTGGCCGCACCAAAGCTGAGCTTGCGGGTTACCTGTGGGGGAGGGGGTGGGGACACAGATGCCCCTGAGCAGCAGGGCTTGAAGCCTGACCTTCCAGAACATTCTTGGAGCCTGGAAGGGAACAATGACTAGAGGGAACCCTGGCTTCAGAGCCAGTCCAGGCTCCTGAGAGGCAGGGAGGCAGGCCGGCCTCAGGGTGCAGTGGGRCAGCTGAAATCCGGGCCTTGCATCTCCTGGGGACTCCTCACCTGCAGGCCCTCCACTGAATCCACCACCAGCGTGTCCAGGGGTGGCCGGGAGTCCTCCCGATCTTCCCTGCTCAGCTCAGACAGCCCCTCTGCCGGGAGTCTCCCCGGGCCACCTGCAGCCACCAGGGAGCTCTG